CATGACACAAGTCTGATAAGTCAGAAGTGATTTTTTTAAATTTAGGTATGTTCACAATTATTGAATATACATGCAAAACAGCCATACCACATTGAAATATACATGAACACAAGTTTATGAGTAATTTCATCTGCTTTCATAAAACAAACTTTTAATATCTTCCCCCAGCTGCCAAATCCATCTCTCCTCCAAACTTCCCTATACCCAATAAAGTCAACACTGCCTTTCCAGTCAATTGGCTTCCCAACCTTAGAGTCCTGCTCAATTCTTCAGTCTCCCTCCCCTCATTATGTAAGATCAGCTCCCAAGTCTTGCCAGTCATACCTCCACATGCCTTGCATTCATCCTCTTTTCTCCATTCACACTGAGGGCATCCTCATGCAGCTCTTCATCACCTCTTGCCTTAACTACTGGAACACCCTCCTAACTGGATCCAGTTTCCTGTCTCCCCTCTCCATCTGTTTTCCTTACTCAAGAATCTTCAGTAGCTCCCTAATGTATTTAGGCTAAAATACAAACTCATCAATATGGCAATTAAAGTGCTCATGATCTGGCTCCAGCCTAATTTTTCTTTTCTTTTTTCTTTTTTTTTTTTTAAGGCAATTGGGGTTAAGTGACTTGCCCAGGGTCACACAGATAGTAAATATCAAGTGTTTGGTCTGAGGTCAAATTTGAACTCAGGTCCTCCTGACTTCAGGGCTGGTGCTCTCTCCACCACGCCACTTAGCTGTTCCTCCAGCCTAACTTTTCAAAGCTTATTGCAAATCACTCACTCCCCTTCTTGCACCCTACATTTCAGTCAAACTGTCTTACCTGCTGTTCCCCAAACTCAGCACCCCATCTCCCACTTCTGTACCTTTGCACAGACTGTACCCTCTGCCTGCAGTGCATTCCCCCCTTCTCAGCTCTGCTTCTGAGAATTCTTAGCTTCCCTCCAAGCTCAGCACATCGGCCAGCTCCATCAAAAACCTTTCTGGATACCAGCAGTTCTTAGCCCTCTCTCTCTTCTCCTGAAATTACAATGTGTTTGTGTATGTGTGTAAGATTTTACATACACATACACACACACACATATCCTGGTTACAGATGAATAAATTCACTAGGGGACTTCAACATTTTGATGTTTCCTTAAACATAGTAGCTTCCCAGTTCCTTAGCCTCTTCAAATCACTTGGCACTCTTTTATTTCACAAGGATATTCACACTCTTGATCTCATCACCATTACCCACAAGTGTTCTAAATACATGATTAATTCCAAAATCCCCTTAGATGACTTTAACTTTCTATATATCTCCCAGTAATTCATTCCTCCCAAATCTGTCTGTCCATAATGTGACTCTCTGGTCTCCTCAATCCCTCAGTAATCTCCAAGTAATCTCCAAGTAATCTCCTATCCCTATTCTAACTTCATTTTTCTGTCCTTCTCAATCTTGACCCTACAGTTAACCAGTCCAACACTGCACTGTCCTCTACTCATACGTTGTGCCCCTCACCCCCCTCATATCCTACCACCACTCATGCCTTTCCAAACCCCAACTGTGGCTTACTCCCACTATCCACCTCCTCCAATCCTATTCATATGCTACTGAACAGTGCTGGAGAGTCATCGAACCACAGTGACTGGGTATACTCCAAATTGCACAGCCTGGCTCACACACCACCTCCTTCATCAAGCCTTTCCTGATCTCCTGGCTATTAGTATCTTTCCCCAAATTACCTCACATTTATTTTGTACATGCACATTTATATCCTGTCTTCCCTATTAGAATGTAAGCTCCTTGAGGGAAGGGACTGTTGCTCTTCTGTCTGTGTCCCCAGCACTTAGCGCAGTGCCTGACACATGCCAGATTCTCCATAAGTGCTTGTCCAAACAGATGGTTAAACTAAGGATCTCCAACTTAATCCCAAGCTCTCTTCAAAACTCAGCCACTTCTAGTACAAGGCCTTTCTCTGACCCCTTTATAGCTGTCAGCGTTCCCCAGACCTGCCAATACAATGATGGTTATCACTGGCAGTCATTCTCCTGCACGTGAGCTGTACCCTCCCCATAGAACATAAATGCCTTGAAGTTAGGAACTCTTCCTTTTGCCTTCTCTTTGGAGTTCCTAGCACAGAGCCTGTACCAGGGAGGACTTGCAATTCTGAACTGGAGGGGAGGGTCTAACTCCTTCATTTTACTCAGAGATGTTAAGAGACACTTGCCCATGGTCACACAGGGCTGTTGTCTGGGACAGAGTTGGAGCTCAGATCTTACAGACTCCAAGTCTAGTACTGTGCACAGTAAACCATGCTGCCTGTAAAGTGATGAATAGATGCTTGCTGGATGAATGAGTAAGCGTACTCCATTCTATACCTGGAAAAGACATTGGGTTTTAATTGATCTCAAACTCATAAGTATGACATGGTTATTGGAAAAAAAAACAATGCAAACTCAGGCTCCATTATCAGAAGTATAATATCTCGATCAAGGGAGCTAGGAGTCCCACTGTGCACTGGTCAATTCACACCTGAAATGCTGATCACCACTGCATGCCACATTTTTAAGAAGGTTAACAACAAACTGGAACACAAGCAGGGGATGTTAACCAAGATAGCAAAAGGTCTAGAAACCACTCAGTTCAATGACAAACTGAGGACGTTCAGCCTAGAGAAAGGAACGAAATAGAAAGGGGCTAAATCCGAGGTCAGTAGATCCAACAGCTAGTGAATACATGACCAAGGACAATAGAACACATGCAACCTCTCTGCCCTTAATCTCCTCATCTGTAAAATGAGGGTGCTACTTGTCTTACAGTTGTGAGGGAAAACATTTTGTAAAACAAAGCATAAAATATGAATGATAATCATAATTGCTGATGATAATAATCAGAATAACAGGCACCTATGAGCATTCTTCAAATGGCGAGAATAATAGCATCTCCCTTCTCAGGGTTGTTGTGGAGATCAAATGAGATAATATGGAAAATGCTTTATTATTAATATTACTAGCATTTTTTGCATGTTTAAATGGTTGTCACCTAGAAAAATTAAATCACCTAGGATTTAATTTATTCTGTGTAGCCCAAGAAGACAGAATTAGGACCAAATGAACAGAAATTATAAGGGGAAGTTTAAGCTCAATTAAGAATTTCCTAACATTCAGAGCTGAGGTCAACTAGGTGGCATAGCGGCTGGAGGTGCAGTTGGGAAGACTCATCTCCCTGAGTTCAAATCCAGTCTCAGACACTTACAAGCTGTGTGACCCTGGGCAAGTCACTTTAACCCTGTTAGCCTCAGTTTCTTCATCTATAAAATGAACTGGTGAAGGAAATGGTAAACTACTCCAGTACCTCTGCTAAGAAAACTCTTAAATGGGGTCACAAAGAGTCAGAAATTACTGAAAATAAACAAACAACAACAACAAAAATATATGGAATAGGAGCAGCTAGGTGGTGCAGTGGATAGAGTACCAGGCCCAGAGTCAGAAAAATCTGAATTCAAATCGAGGCTAAAACACTTACTAGACAGGTGTCCCTGGGCAAATCACTTAACCTCTATTTGCCTCAGTTCCTCATCTATACAATGGGCATACACTAGAGAAAGAAATGGCAAACCACTCCAGCATCTCTGCCAAGAAAATGGGGTCAAAAAGAGTCAGGCACAATTCAATCACTGAACAACAATAACATATGGAATGGGTTGCTTTATTAAATAGCAACCCCCTGCTAAGTGGAGGTATTCAAGCACAGTGTGTTAGAGATGTTGTAGAAGAGATACCTGCAAAAGGTGGGAGATCAGATTAGATGACTCAACAATAGGATTCTGCAGTAAGTGAAAGCCGGAAGATCAGGGCGATGATTGGCAGAAATCTGTGTCAGGTCATGAATAACCCCTTCAGGCCATGGTTGGAAAATATATTACTAAGCACAAGATGAACTATCATGAAACAGCCACACACATCCCCAGTCACCTCCACAGCAAACTAAAAACGAAGAAGGGAGGGGGAATGGTCCCTAGAGAGGAAGAAGAGAGAGTAGTTCATGCAGCTGGCTGACCAGACAGGCCCACCTGGGAAATATCATCCAATCCCAGCTTTATGTAGTTTGGGTAGAAGTCATAAACTGAGTGAAACAGGATTAGAGGGAGAGAGATGGCTGAGAAACAGATCAGTCAGTCATACAACAAACAGGGAAGTCAGAAAAATTCCATATTCTTTTCTAGATTTTTGCCAAGATTTGCTATGTGACCTTGGAAATATCACTTCCTGGTGAGTGAGTCAATTTCCTCATGTGTTGAATGCACAGTTGGCTAAGGCTCAAAAGTATGGCAGATTTTAAATAGGCTGTAGGCAATGCATGTAAAGTACTTAGAAAACACTCTGGGTAACAAATTCCACATATCAATTCTTAGCTTCAGACATAAATACCAGGGCTTTAATGAATGAGTCACATGTTGACTGTACAATTAAAATTTGAACATCATGCATTTCTTAAAGACATCTTCTTAAACTTAGTGGAAGTGGTCTGGTAATAGATAGACTTCCTTCTGGTAGTTTTCAAAAGTAAAATGTTCTGAAATCAAGGTAACCTTCTAAGTTCCACAACTGCTTGTGCTTCAGTAACTCTCCCTTAGTTGTTGGGTCCAGCCTGGTTCTACACCAGAAAAATCACAACTTCCTGAAGCCTCCCATAAAGAGATAATGTGCCAAGGAAAATTGCCTCTGGCATACTAGTTAAATAGGGCACAAAGCAAAGTCAGATATCTGCCCACAGAAATCAAGCACATATATTGATTAATTATTTTCTAGGCCTACCCATCTTACGTAACAGAGAATTTCATTAATAAACAGCAAAAGTATCCAAGTGTTCTTTGTTCTTCAGACTCGGTAATAAAGATTTTCATACACGGGAAACCTAATGCTCTCCTATCCCCAACTTCTCTAAATCCTGTTATGCCCCACTAATCCCAATTCGTTGACAAAGTCCAAGATTTCAAAAGCCACTTCTGCAAATTCACCTACCGGACTCTTGGCATAGCCCCTTGCACCGCCAGATCTGTGGTTCTTCAGGGGATCTCCATAATCAGTAGCAAGGTTAGACTTCCATACCATCACCTGAAGAAACAAATTATGTTATTATATGTGTACATGCACATACATGTATATATGTACATACAATTGCATACACATGGGCACACATGTAGGGATGCATGCATATATATCAAACCATATGTGGGTCTTATTCGGCTGTGGAAATAAGCCTCTACACACTTAAGAAGTAGGAGGAAAATTGAGTAGCAGCCACAAAGGCAGGTAACCAGTGGGCCTAAACAAAAGAGAAAAACTGTTTGCTATTCCCTTGCTGTTTGGTTTTCCTAGAAAGCTGTGTATTTTTAGCAGTTAGATCCTTGGGTTTTCTCATCCTAGTGACTGGGGAGTAGGGGCAGAACAGCAGTTTGAATTATCAGGGGGTGGTAATGAGAAGTGCAGGAAGAATCAATGCATTCTGCAGATTAAGGGTAACTTTTATAGGCTTAATGACTTTTAAAGGTCCATACATTCATTTGGCTATTCATCGGAAAAACGTGAGCCCACTAAGAGTTGAAAAGAAATAACATATCAAGAGCTCACTCCTTTCTCAGGATTATGTCAGTTTTGAAGGTCGTGAGGGTTGGTCTGTTACCTTAAAGAAATAGTCACAATCTGGACAGAGCCACTCTAATTCAAGTAAAATATTTTTTGACCAGTCAAAAGGTACCTGACACTGGACTACACTGCCATAGGACAGGGATTCAGAAAATACTTTATATCTTTTGCAATCCAATCTTGGTAAGATGAAGTAGGACTAAAGGGCTAAAAAAAACTCAAAGGGGAGAAAAAGCAGAGAGACAAATACATGTAGCACGTATGTTTTTAATACAAATACACAGGGAGGGAGGAGTAATAGTTTTTAAAATGTTACAGCTTCTACATAATGAAAGGAAGGCAGCCAATCAGTTCATGGGCAAACTACAACCAAAAACCTAATCAAACAGTGTGAGGGAAGTTGCAAAACAATCAATCATCAGCATGAGTCTAGTGAGGAAAAGAATGCTGGCCTGGAAAAAGTCGAGAATTACAGAATGAAACTTTTTCAAGCATTCTTGGGAGTATGGAGTGGCTTCGGACTGTTTGTGTTTAGGCAAGGAAAAAAACAAAACAGAAAAGAAATCTTCGCCCAAGTATTAAGTGGATCCATTCTAAAATCCTGTCCCAGTAGATTATAAGCTCACTGAGGGCAGGGACTGTCTATGGTCTCTTTTTGTATCCCTAGCACAGTGGCTGGCACAATGTGGGTGCTTAATAAATGTTTATTTGATGGGGGGAAGAAGAAGAATTACAGAATGAAGAGCTCCACACTTGTCCTCTTCATTCACAGGCACTGGGACTCAGAAGCAAGTTCAAAACTGGTTTTGTGACTTTACTATTCACCTCACATTCTATGTCTCCATTTTCCTTTCTAATAAAATGGCAACAGAAACTTAGATTCACCCCCATAATATCATGATATCATAACCAAGTAGAATCAAAGCATTCTCTAAGACCAGAGGAACTTTTACAGGTTTTATAAATTTTCAAGCTATGGATACTGACAAAGCTGGTGCTTACATTAATGAGCTTAAGATATCTATCTGTTAAAGGCTCTAGCATGTGAAAGAACTAAATGTACATTTAAAAATTCAAATTCTTATACTGGCCATGTTGCATCAAATCCAACCTATGTTCTCACGTACTTAATTTTCCTCTATACAACAGACAAGGAAGAAGAAATCCCCAAAAACAAGGACAGGGGAGAAGACTCTAAGTATAATACACCTTGTTTTACCAAATGGAAGCAGCTAGTCTTGAAGGCTGCCATTTTTTCTAATCAGAGAATGCACCTCATTTTAAAGCCCACAGGTTTCAGAACACGAAGGAGAGAGAGTGGTATGGCCTCACCGTCTGTAGCCCAAATGTGTGCCAGACAGATGTTTATACTTACTTGCTCATCAACACCTCCAGAAGCAAATAATTCCCCTGATCTTGAAAAGGCAACACAGGTAGCTGGCCCCTATTATTAAATGGGAATAGAGAGAGAAGGAGGAGAAAAAGAAAGAGAATGATACTAAATCATAACATGGAAACAAGAAAAGTTTGTGTTAAACTGGTACTAATGCAAAGATTTTAAAATATACGTAATTCTCTCCTCAGGACTGAATCTTGAGCAGGAGGACGGCATCCTACTATGCATCTCTCACCTGATCTTTGGATGACTCATAATTCCAGAAAAATACCAATAATCTCTACCTGCTCTCTCCACTCTGCTCCCCACATCTGGTCCCCTTCTCCCTGCCAATATCAAAAGAGCTATCCTGCTTCCAAGAGACTCTTTCCCATCTCTACTTTCCATCTAAAGAATTCCCACCTCAGTTAACTCTCTAGTAAGGCCTAAGGCCTTATGACTAAAGGCCTTAAGCCTAACGACTCCTAAATCTACATATGCAGTGTTAGCTAGGTGGTGCAGTGGATAGAGCACTGGCCCTGAAATCACGAGGACCTGAGTTCAAATCTGGCCTCAGACCAAAGACTTGACACTAGCTGTGTGACCCTGGACAAGTCCCTTAACCCCAATTGCCAAAAAAAAAAAAATCTACACATGCAGTCCTAGTCTCTCTCCTGAGATCCAGTCTCACATCTCAATTGTCTACTGGCTATTTCAAACTCAATACCTTGTAGACATCTTAAATTCAACACATCTAAAACCTGAATTCATTTCCCCCAAAAACCTTAGCCTCTTCCAAACTTCCCATTTCACCCAGGGGCAACACTATCCTTGAAGTCACCCAGGTTTTACTGTTATCACCAACTCCTCATTCATCATATTTAATCAGCTGTTAAATCCTGTCATTTCTACGTTCACAATATTTCTCATATCTGTCTTCTTCCTTCTACTTGCATAAGCACTATTGTAGCTCAAGCCCTCATATTTTGCCTAACATCCCCCTTCTCCCCCACCACCCCTCCGCATGTTCTTTATTACTGCAGATGGTTCTCTGGACAGCAAAAGGCTTTTCATGAAAAGTAATGTTTTTAAAAAAAGCAAATTTTTTAAAAAAGAAATAGCCCATGAAGCATCCCATGTAGTCCCCAGTCAAAGAATAAATTATATTTCACGTTTCCAAGTTGTACAGGGAACTGAAGCAAAATTCACCAAAGTGCACAGCTGGAATGCCTCTAGCTTGCCAGCACTGCTACACTCAGTCAAGTCTGCAACCATCTGGTTCAGTCTCTGAGGACATGAAAAAAGACATGGTTTCCCTCCTTGACATCAACCTCGAAATTTAGGGACATTCCCCAAAACAGCCTTGTTTCCCCAATGTACACTACTGTTGTTTATTCACGCAGCATTAATCTTAACCCTTCTGATTCTAGCAACACCTTCATCTTTTAAGCATCTTGGAGGTTTCTCTGAGTAATAGCTGGCACTGAAGAATAATCAAGACATATGAAATTTGGACTCTTTTGTCAAAAAGAAATGGAATGGGACAGGAGTGTCACAGGTAGTATTCTAGAAAGACCTATAAGCATCCACAAGTTTAGCTTCTTCGAATATGGCTAGCCTACTTCTCACTGAATGATTACAAAACTGTCTGTGGATCCAAGGTGCCCACAGTATCCCACTCCCTCTAGCCACAAGCCTAACACACGAGCAAAGACAGTGGGAATCAAAGCTGGATGAATTAACATGCTGCAGAGAACAACGGAGATGCCTCCCATACATCTGCTGCTAAGGTGGCTGTTCTCAAATGGCCAAAAGTATGGTAGAGGAGTTACAGGAGCACCTCACTGTTCACGCCCAGGGCTAAGAGAGAGTCTGGGGTAGTTCTCCCATTGGAACATCCTCCATCAGGCGTATTTGGACAATCATGTTTTTGTCACAAACAAGTTAATAATAGCTTTGTACTGCTTTATATAATTCTTTCATCTAATTATCATAACAACTATGGAAGACAGGAAAAAGAATTATCATCAGATAAGGCGACTGAAGAGAGGAAAGTGAAGCGACCTGTCCGTGATCACACAGTGAGTGCATGGCAAAGCCAGATTTTAAATATGACATTTCATCATGTTATCCATAGACATGGGAAATTGGCCAATTACTGGGAAGGGAAGGGAAGGGAAGGGGGGGAGGTCAAGAAGCAGAGGGAAGGAAAAAGTATCCAAAAGCCCAACTAAAGAACAGGCTGCCTCAGCGCAGGTTTCTAGCTAGGGTTAGTTTCTAAGAGGTTTCAGGAACCAATACTGCTGAGTTCAGTTCGTTGCCTGGCCCCATTCAGCCATGACCACAAAATGTCAAGTTGGGTACACTGGGTGTCAAAACAAAGTTCTAAGAGCGGAATCACAGTCACAAGAAAGAAGAATACAAATGGAATTCTAATTCTCTGACCATTTTCAGGATCACATCCTATTCGGGAAGGCCAAATGTCAGCCAGATGTTCTAGGAAGATCATATAAGCTCCCAAAGTGGCCTAGCTACAAACTGAGACCCTGCCTAGACCAACCCACAACTACAGCCACTAGTCTTTTTTTTTTTTGCCTTTGACAAGAGTCACTCAAATCCCATGAACCTCTAATTAAGAGCTGATTGTGCATTAAAAAAAGTGTGAGCCTCATCCAATAAACATTTGGTGGTAGAGTTCTGCATTCTGTGCCCTGCTGAGTGGGTTCAGCAAGACAGGTCAAGTGCTCTAATGTTTGATGGAAACAAAAACCATGAGTTACTAAATTCCTTCTCAACTACTGGAAATGTTTACCAAATGAAAGTTTTCATGTCTCATATGCTATGCAAAAGAGTTCTTTGAAAAGAATAATAGGTCATTAGAGGAAAGCAGCCCACTTGTCTGGAAAAGTGTGATAAGTCAAGTATAACTATCCCCACCTCTGTAGTTAGTTTTCAGTACAGAGGCAATCAGATCTCTAAGGTTGGGTTGGCATTCTATATTTTAGTATAAACTTTGAGAATCAGGGGCATAATATACTCTCAGGACCAACTAGGACAGGCACTCATAGAGACTAAAATATTGTCACCCAAAGAGCTAGCACCTGGCCAACTTAGTCAGTTGATAAAAATTTATTAAGCACCTAATATATGCCAGGTACTGCGTTAAGTGCTGGGGATACATAAAGAGGCAAAAGACAGTCCCTGAAGCAAACAAATATGTACAAACAAGCTACATACAGAATAAATAGGAAATAAGAAAGAAATGACAGTAGAATTAGTAGTAGTTGGGAAAGATCTAGACTGTCATTTCAGGGTAATCCACTTTGTTACTGTGTTAACATGACCAGGTATGCTGCTCCCAACCCCTTCCTGCTACAGTCCCCAGGACACTCAGAAGCAATGTTTGTTACTGGAGTAGTACACCAGTTATAGAGGAATAGACATCAATAACAAAAGTCTTTCACTGCTAATGTTCAGTAAAAATACAGTACCATAGGTAGATCAGATTCATTCTTTCTAAAGCGGTCCTTAGATAGTCAAATAATGCATTGAGAAGAACATAAAAGCTCACATCCACTTCAGGGAACACTTGTAAGTGTGTTAGGACTCTGCTAGAAATTTCACAAATGGGATAATATATGCAAAGTGTTCACAAACCTTGACGGCATTACATAAATGTTAGATATCAGCATCATCAGCATCATCATCACCCCACACAAATGGGGACGATTTCAAAAGGGATATTATAGCCTCTCTCATAGAAGGGTAGGAATCCATTCCAAAGAGAGTTAAACACTAGACTTATGTCTAAGTAATGAAAGAATATATTTGATTGACCCCAATTACAAACAGCCTATTCCCTTGATTACTTCCCTTTACTGAACTACATGCTGGATTTCAATAAACAGGATGTGAAAATGGGACACTACCTAGAAAAGATATTTGGAACCAGGGGCAGTTTTTGTTGCAAAATCTCCTCATTCTATCTAAAGCCTTCAGTGATAGCAGCAGAGAAGGTACCAGGAGCTAACTAGTCTGGGAGGGAACACCCAGTTTATCAAAAAGGCAAAGGCTACCAATAAATAAGTGTGGACTTCTGGGTCAGGAAGGAAAAATCTCAGCTATAATGTGTCTCTCACTTGAATGATTTAACAAAAATAGAATAATCCCATATAGGCATAGAGAGAACCTTTTAAATGTCATGAAAAGCACCTATCTAAAACCAAAAGCAAGCACCAAATATAATGAGGATGTGCTAGACTCTTTTTCAAAATATAGGATGCCCCCTCTCTCCATCATTATTTGATACAGTTCTGGAAATGCTAGCAATAGCAATAGGACAAAGAGAAAAAATTAAAGGAATAAAGAGAGTAAAGAGGAGATAAAACGACCCCTGTTTGCTAGCGATATGATGGAAAACCCCAGGGAATCAGCAAAGATACTAATTGAGCCAATAGCTTTAGCAAATATGCAGCCTACAAAACCTCAAAAACAGTTTTTCTATATAATAACAACAAAACACAAAAAGCAATCATAGACAGGGAAATTCCACTACTTTAACCCCATTTGTCTCAGTTTACTCATTTGTAAAATGAGTTGGAGAAGGAAATGGCAAATCACTAGAGCATCTTTGCCAAGAAAACCCCAAATGAGGCCACAAAGAGTCAGACATGACTGAAAAAAATGAACAACAACAACAACAAAAATATCTAGGGATCAACCTCCCAAAGCACACAAAAGACTTGTGCAGATTCAATTACAAAATGCTCCTTAAAGAAAAACAACAACTTAAATAGCTAGGGGAATATTCAGCACTCATTGCTAGGCTGCACTAATATAATAAAAAATGAAAATACCAAAATTAATTTACATTTTTAATGCTATACTAATCAAATTACCAAACGGTTACTTTATAGAACTCAATAAAATAATAAAATTAATTTGAAAAACAAAAGATCTAGAAAATCAAGGAAATGATAAAAAGGGTGAAGGGAGAAAAGCACTTCTAGGCCTCAAATTATATTATAGAGAAGCAGTCATCAAAACCATCTGGTATTGGTTAAAAAATT